TTCAGCCATTGATGTGACCTACTTGCTGGAGGAAGGATCAGGCAGGAAACTGCGAAGGCGTACTTTGTTTGTCCCAGAAAACAGCTTTCGGAAATGACCCTCAAAGAATGAGAACCTGAAGCATCTGGAATCCAGTGGAGCTGATCTGTCCTGCTTCCTGCTCTCTGGATGTTGACATGGGTGGGAAGGGTCCATCCAGGCAAAGGGAATGGGGCCATATCGTTGATATTAGGTACTTAATACCCTTGAAGCTAGTGGAGAGGATGGGGATCTGTCCAAGACAGTTCAATTTAATTAATTTTCTTCTCCATTGCTTCAACCTAAGAGTTAATAATGTAGAGAGGAGAGAGGACAACATTGGGGATGACCAGAAGCTTTTGGTACTTTACAGCACTTGCCCCTCCCCACAGCTTGGGTTTTTCTGTGTCATCCTCCAATCCCACAGGCACTACTAAGCTGCTTCCTATACCGAGGTATAACTCAGAATCCAAAGGGATAGGGCCAGGATCCCCACCCCTACTCCATCTGTTCTCTGTTGGCTCCAAGAGCTACCCCAGAGACCTAAAACAGAAACAGTAGCTGGGGCCTCTTCCCTGGTCCCTGACTAGGAAAGTTTCTCTCTCCTTTCTTACCCAACCAGGTAAAAGTAAAACATGAGTTGACAACTCAAAGCACTTGTAACTGCTGTCCCTCTCCCTACCTCTAATCCCCAAGATGGAATCATGAGATAGGGAAGGCCCCCATGGGGTCAGAAGGGCACAGTACTTCTTATAATTTTATTTGTTTTACCCTTCATAACCTACTGAACATATTTTTTTCCTAATGAGAAAACCAGGCCCCCGCCAGCACACATGTTTTTGACACGCTGTGGTTCTGTACGTCTGCTGTGCTGTGCGAATGGAGATTCATTTCAAAATAGAATAATTTTAAAGAACATAAAAAGAACTACGTAAAAAGAACTCTAAACTCCCCCATAACAAAAGTCACTACAGAGACTGTTCAGCAGTATTCATCTATCAGAGTATTTGTTGTTGAGTGTAGATTATCAATTGAATACACTACTCTTGTTTTCTTAATTGTACAGTTTTCAGTGTCCATCTCTTAAAGAGACAGTGTTCTCTTCACCCTAGTCCCATCTTGCCCCCACCCTCCTAAATGACTTTATCATTTAGGAGGTATATCCAGGGTGTTTCTTTCCTTCCCATTCTCTTGACCAGAAGTTACCAGACTATCTGTCTCTTTAAAAATAAAATTTAAAAAGCTTTGCTTTGTTGTCTTCTCAGACATACGTATACATATACATTTTAGATGTTCCTATAAGAGAAAAGATGGTTTTTAAATGTGCCAAGTTGTGTGTGTATATATGTGTGTGTGTGTATATATATATATAATATATATATATATATATATATTTGCTGCGTGATTGGTAAGCAATACAATAGAAAACATGTCCCCATTACTTTTTTCTAATATTGGACCAATGCTGTCCTAATTGTACATTTCCCCTTATGATGACGACGCTCTGACTCGTTTAAGTAGAAACATTAACCACCTTCCATTCCATTGAATCTTTTTTTCTTTTTCTCCTTTCTGTGTCATTCTTGAGGGAAAAAACAAAAAACAAAACAAAAGAGAGGGGATGCCAAAGATCCCCTTGAGCAGAGAAAAAGGAAAATAAATATTTTATTAAAGAAAAAAGAGAATTAAGAAAATAGTTTGGAGTATTTTCTTACTGTAGAGAAGCACTGTACAGTACTAAGAGACCTGGGTATATGATACTCATGTGTGGAGCTGGAAAAATCGCATGTCCAAGCCCGTTTGAGTGGTTTCTTTTGTTTTTCATTGCAGGGAGTGGGTGGGAGGGAGGTGGGACTAGGGGCACTTTGGGGGTATCCTTTTAGTCAAAAGCAAGAAAATGACAAGAAAGAGATTAAAATTCAATGTTTCCTTTATATAGTGTTAAACACTAAAATTTTAAAAAAGATAAAAAAGAAAAAAAACTTTGTAAAATGCGAGAACAGAAGCAAAAGACACTACGCTCTGTCATTTTATCTTTCTTTTGTTGAAAGACTAAAAACTGAAATGTTTTTTAGACAATCAAATGTTAGGTAAGTGCAAAAACTTGTTTTTTCTTACTGGTGTAGAAATTAATGCCTTTTTTTATTTTTCAGTTATTTTATAATAACGAAATAAAAAGAACCCCCCAGCTGCCAGGTGGGTTTCGGTGTTTGAAATGTGGGGCAAAGCACTACATCACTGCAAATAGATACAGAGTTAGTCTGCATGTCTGTAGGCTGTGTGATTGCGGAAAATATAAATGCTGCTAATATATATTTCCTTTTTACAAAAGCATATCTAAATAGATGATTGTTTTGATGTTTAATCTTTGTAAATTATGTATTACCAATTTTAACATTGGATGTAATTGCATAAAAAGCTTGCATCTCAATCCTTGAAAGTCTAGTATTAAATGGAAAAAACTTTTCCTAACTGTGGAGTGGTGAGCTTGCTATTTTTTTCTTCTTTCCTACTCTCCATTTATCTTCCAGGATCTCTCCATTCTTTTTCCAAAGGGATCTCTCTTAAACCACATCATCAACATCCTGTGCCCTACATGAGCACACTTACCACTGTTAATTACTGGATGAAGCCATTTCTTCAGTACCAGGATCTTTTAAGTCTGGACCCAGTCTAACCAATCAGCACAATAATCACCTATACCATAAGTCCAGCTGTTTCTCAAACATGCCACACTATTCTACACACTACCGTTTGCACACACTGGCATCATGTCACTTAATGCTCATTAACAACCTGAGGCTGGCAATAATTTCATGCCACAGTTTTTAGGCAACTGTGTGTTAGATCATTTCTGTTATAAGCAGTTTCCATGAATTCATTTATTAATCCTCACAACAGCCCTTTTTGATAGGTACCAAAACCCAATTTTATAGACAAGGAAACTGAAGCAACGGAAAGGTTAAGTAGCTTGCCCAAGATCACATAGCTACTTAGTTAATCCTCATAACAGCCCTCTGAAGTTATTATTCCCATTTCGTAGAAATTAAAACTGGAGCTCGGGTAGGTTAAGTAACTTGCCAAAGGTCACCTAGTAACTTTGGAGCCAGAACTCCAAAGTCTAAGTGTTCATCCACAAATAAAGTGTCAGAAATAACCAACTAATTGAGGAAGATAAAATCCACTCCTGCCAATAACTGGAAAGCCTAATAAAATTCCCAGACATTTAGGCTGGGAGTTCAGCTAGAATACAGTTGATCAGAAGCAGCAAGTCCTACTCCACTGTTAAGTAACAGTCTCTTCATTACTGCAAAACAGTATATTAGTGTTAAATTTTCTTAAGCTTATCTCTAACTTTTAACCTTTGTCATCTACTACAGATGTTCTAGATAATATATAATGTTACAGAACTAGATTTTATTATATCATCATTTGGTCTATTTCATGTTCTGCAAGGAAGTCCTACTTCTCTGTTACCACCTGCACAAGCCTGAGGCTATTAGGCTCTGATCGCAAATGTTGCATCAGGCCAGGTCTCACTGATGTTCTAACAAAGTCCTTCTAGGACTCTTCCCAGTTATTAGGATTAACCACTTTAAAACCAAGAACATGGGAATAGGAGTCCGAAGGAGAGGCCAGGTTAAGTCATGGGAAATGAAGACTCTATATGAGCATTAAAGAAACTTTAGGAACCGTGGGCTCCGCAAGATTATTCTGCAGATCACTTTAAGAAATATTGGTCCCAATGTCAAAGTATTAGCAGTCTCCCATATCTACTGTTACATAACCTTAAACATATAAGTACAACTTCATAAAGCTTCATAAACTCGAGAGCTCAGACTCCCCTAAGAATATGACAGGATTCCTAGAGGCGCTCAGAATCCAGTTTGAGAAACATTACCTAGGGCTGGCCCGTGGCTCACTCGGGAGAGTGCAGTGCTGATAACATCAAGGCCACGGGTTTGGATCCTATATAGGGATGGCTGGTTTGCTCACTGGCTGAGCGTGGTGCTGACAACACCAAGGCAAGGGTTAAGATTCCCCTTACCGGTCATCTTTAAAAAAAAACAAAAAGAAACATTACCTAGGAAGCACCTGAAATGCAAACTGAGATCTAAAATTGAGAGGGTAGATACACATAAAAAGCAAAATTAAAGCAAAGAGTAGATGAATAACATGAATTGGCCAGGAGTGGGTAACATTTAATTCTTAGAAAATTACAAAAATATAAGGCATTTGAGTCTACCAGGACTGGTACTGAGTACTACAGAGCTTTGAATCTTAAGATTTTTATTTCCCCCATGTCCTGCCTACTGTCTTCTACTGAGTTCCCAAAGATAAAAACTTCCAGAGTTCTTTGCTTTGTTTCACCTCATAATTCTCAGCTTCCCCCTAACTTTCCTACTGCCCGGTTATAATTATACCTTTCTATTCTTCTAACCTTTTGGTGATTTCTCCTCTGTATAGACAACCTTTATAGTTATTCCCAATCCCATCTTCAAACCTCTAGAGCATCTTAGCTATTCTCATTATTTCAAAAGATTGAAAGGAAACTAACTCCTAAAAAAGTAATGTGATAAAACTAAAAAAATAAATAACAGAAAGTTATTTTGCTTTTACTTGATACTGTATCACCATAGAGTGACATTAAATAGGTATTAAATAGAAAAAAAAAAGTGTCACTTCTTACAACTCTTTAATCCTTCCCTTCACCTCAGATATTAATAAGTACAATTTCAAGGGCTATTTAAGTCTTTCCTCCTCCCCAATATTTTACTCAGACTCCTATCTTATCAGTCAAACCAAACCAAATCAAGTCTGAGACTAGAGGAACACTTGTGAGATTTAGGCACCAGAGGTCATGTCTCTGTTCCTCAGAAAACATTAAAAACTGAACATGGGCTGGGAAGAAAGCGTCTCCCATAAGAGGTCCTCCCTCCTCTCTCATAGCCTATGTCCTAAAACCCACAGTGACACACACATTCAACTCCTATTCTTTATTGGGACAAAGAAGGAAGGAGGCAGACCAACACCACAGGCCCACCCACCAGGGGTGTTCGGTCTTCAGCACCTAGTACAGCATGAGTACATCATAAATACAGGCAACGTGCGATTGGAATGGGGAAGATTCCACAAACAGGAAGGAAACTAGAAGTCCTTCTAGGCTTGGGGGTCAAGGCATATACTGTACTGGCACAGTCCACTGATGGATGAAGAAAGTAGAGGGCTAGATTTCCATTTGCAGATAGGAAGGGAGATGTTCCCTTATATGGATGGGAAAGAAGAAAGGGACATGGAGGGGAATTCCTTTTTATATATTTGGAAGAAGAGCAGATTTCACCCTACAGATGGGCATGGGAGGGAAGAAGGAAAGTTTATTTTAAATATTAGCAGAAATGGATATGGGAAGATATGTCATTTTGCAGATAGGTAAAATGCTTCTGGGATGGTCAGTTTACAAGGATTAGTGTTCACAGGCCATTTCATTCCCAGGTGACAGGAGGGGAGACCCGCAGGAAACGAAAGGGTTCCAGGGCTAGAGAACAAGGGAGGTATACCCCACAGGAACCAGCCCCTCCACGCCATCCCGCCCACAGCGGAGCCAGTCCTCATCCACTGTGGCAATGACACGCAGCACATCCCCACGCCGGAAGCTCAACTGGTCAGGTCCTGCAGCAGTGTGGTCACAGAGAGCCCGAACCGCCCTGAAGGGAGCCAGAGGAAGATGCTGGGATGAAGTGAAGTGGGAGTGCCTCGCTGTCCCCAGGCCTTATCTCCCCACTCAGTGAACATTGGGCTCTGAAAGATACTTGGGAACCATCTGTCAACATGTTGATTCTGTCTGGGGCTCTAGCCCTCTCCTAAGCACCAAATCCACTCTTCAGCTGTTTATTTGACACTATTTGCACTTCCCTTTGGTGCTTCAAATTCAACATATGCAAACTATATGACTCACCTTAACCCTCCAAACCAGTCCCTCTTGTTTCCCCTACAGTGGTAAACAGCACCAGTTTCTACCCAGTTGCTCCTGGCAAAAACCTGGGCATCTCACTTCCCACATCCAATCCATCACCAAAACTTGTTTGCTGTTTGTATCCACTACTATTCCATCTTACTCTTTCTCTTCAACTCTACTGCCACCATACTGGTTTAGTCCTCTCTTCTCTCCCTGGACCACTGCATAGTCTAATTGGTCTGCTTGAATTTCTCTTGGCCTCCCTCCCCCAGGCCATTCTCCACACAGCAGTCAAAGATCTTTCTAAAACACAAGCACATCATTCCCAGGCTTAAGACCCTTCAAGGGCTCCCACTGCCTCAGAATAAAGTCGTCTCCTTAGCTGGCACACTGACCCCTTCCGCCTCGCCATCATGTCCTCCACTGCAACCGTTATGTAACTTTAGACATAAAAATACAGGGGCACAACATCATGTGCACACAATTCCTCACCACACTTGAGCCTCCCTGCCTTTGCCTCTCATTCCTCCTGCCAGATGCACACCCCCACACCACCACTGAGCCTCCCCTGCATTGCCAAGCTTGGAGAAAAAGCCCTGTCTACGAGGCCCCAAAGGACTCAGTCCTTCCTAATCTTTAGCATACTGGATTGTAATTGCTCATTTATTCATTGCTATCTCCACTGGACTTGAGAGCAGGGACTCTAATGTTTTGTTTAGAAAGGACTCTTTTTGTTCCTTTCCCTAGCATAATGCTTCACACCTAGTAAATACTTGAAAAATATTGCTGAATGAATGAAAAATCAGGAAGCTTAATTCAATGAGAGAATCCCAAAGAAACAAGACCCCAAAGGAGAAGCAGTCCCTGGCACCAAATTAGAAGACCTCACCAGAGGGCCACACAACCCCTCAGTGTACACACACAATAATAAAACCGCTAACTGGGTACCTACTCTGTGCCCAGTGCTTTTACAAAATTATGCCAAGTCTTCACAACAACCATAACAAAAGTATAAAATTATCTTCTTTTTACAGAGAAAGAAACTAAGGCTCGGAGAAATTAGTGTCACACTGATAATAATAGCACAGATTCAATGCAAACTAAGCACTGTCTGATTTTAAAACCTTGGGTCTTTTACACTACCTCCTGTCCACTCCATGAAGACAGAAACACGTATATAACACACACAGTTACACACCAATTCATTCTCCCCAATCCTTCTTACCTGTGGGTCTGCACCATGCTGGGTGCTGAGGCCTCAAGCTCCTCAGGAGGAGTCTCAGGAGGTGCTCCCCACTTTACCAGAGCCAACACATTCACTGTCGGGGGCAGCCAGCTGGATGGTCTCCTGGAAGGAAGGACATAGGGTCACAGAGGTTACCCCACTTTCAGAAAAAGAACCCAAGAACCCAGGGATTTGGAGGGAGGGAGAGACTGAGGGGCCAGACTGGTTCAAAAGAGGTCAAGAGTTGGTCACTTTTGAAGGCAGAGTGGCAGTTGCGGGACATAGGTAACTTTTGGATGATTAGGGAGATGACACCAAATGTCTACAACACCAAAAGTCAGAAGAGACTTAATGGAACTATCAGGATCTATACAGGCTCAGAAAAATCCAGAGGATCACTAGAGATTACCTAAAGCCATTGAAAGCCACCAATGGTCAAGCTCTAGAGCAGGGGTCAGCAATTTATTTTTTTTTTCTAAAGGACCAAATAGTAAATATTTCAGACTGTGAGGGCCAAAAGGCAAAACAGAACATTATGTAGGTACTTATTTAACCATTAAAATGTAACCACATAGTAATAGCCATTTTTAGCTCATGGCTGTAAAAATACTCCCAAACTCTGACCTAAAAGATCATCACTAGAGATTTTCAAATGAAGCCACTGGTGGCTTTGAGATGGAGTCAAAAAGTCATAGAGGGAACAAGGTACTCCATTACCTGGATTTTACAGCTCCACCCTCAGTTTCTGTGGGGCCTCCAGGCACTCCAAACAGTCTCCCCAGCCACACACCTCTGCCTGGTGTTGCTTCTTCTGTGGGCAGGAGTCTCTCCTGTGCACCCTCAGTTGCAGTCCCGTGATGCCTGGGTCCCCACCGGGGAAGAGGGAAGCCCTCGGTGCCTCCAGAGGCATAGACCCGGGAGGCCTGGGTCAGCTGCTCCCACCAGCTGCCTGGTGTGGGAGGACTTGGGGAGGCTGAAGGGTCAGGAGCCACCTCCCCAGAAGCTCCCCGAAGGCTCTGGGCCAACCGACCCCCCCAATGCAGCATGGCTTGCACAGTCTGCTGCAGGGCTGGAGTTGGGCCTGCAGGGGCAGGGGCCTGAGGCGGGCCCAAGGGCAGATGATGGTGGTGCTCAAAGAGCAGGTCCAGGTGGAAGGTGAGCACCGACAATGGCTGCAGCAGGAGCAACAGCTCTGTGGACAGGGAGGGGCAGCCACCCTGCGCCATGGAAAAGAATCCTGTGGGCAGGTACAGGAGGGACAGCAGGCCTGGAAAAGAGCAGGCCAACATGAGCCCCTGATCTAGGCCCAGTCCCTGAGGAACACCTGCATCAGTCCACCAGTCAGCAGACATCTTCCCAGGCCTCACTCTGTACTTGGCAGTGGGACATGAGAGAGGGGAACATGGTGGGATATAAGACTAACACATCCCTGCCTATCTGGAACTGTGGCCTAGATAGATACAGAGCAAGTAGTGACAAATATCTGAGTAACAATGTAAAGACTAGAAAAGAGAAGGACAGGAGGGCCATGGGAGTACACACAGCAGGGCCTAGGAGTTGGCCTAGTCTGGGGGTGGAAGTGAAGCCTCACTGAAGAAAGGTCTGAAAGATGAATGAAAGTCATCAGGAAGCAGGAGGGGCAGGGAGGCCCATTCCAGGTGGAGGAACAGCATAAGTTGGGCCCTGGGGCAGGAAGGACCAGACGGGAAGACTGTTGGCAAGACCAAGGAAAGCCCTGGACCTCAAAGCAGGGGAATAGGGCAGAGGGCAGAGGCTTTGGACCTTTCCTCCTATGGGACTCCATGGAAGAGTTTTAAGCAGAAAAGTAGTAAGATCAGACATCTGGATTAGTATCAATCTGGCATCAGTGGGAAGGAACCAGCAGAAGAGATCCCTTTCCCTCCCTCCCTGCTAGCCCAGCAACCCCAACCTCTCCCATCTGAGCCTCTGACCTGCATCTTCCTGAAGACTGGAAAACCACAGCTCCAACTGCTTAGTGCTGTGGAAGAAGGGAGGTAATGGACATTCAGGGAGGTGGAGGACTCCAGTCCTCTCTGGGTGGGGGATGGGAGATGAGAATGGGAGAGGGGAGGCCTTCTCTGGGGACATGGAGCATCAGTACTGTGTCCCACCCATGATGCCCCTGTGGTCCCCAGATCATGGGTGGCGGTGGGGCAGTGGGAAGAAGGCCACTCACTTGAGGAGGCCCAGGATGAAGGCATGGAAGCGGCTTCGGCTGCTGCTCAGCGGGGCCAGACGGCTGACCTGGCTGTACAGGGTTCCCAGGGAACGGGTGCTGGAGCCTGAGGACATGGGGTGCGGTGAGCCAGTCCCCGGCCCTGCACACGGCGGAGCGGTCCCACACCCTCCCCACTCACCTGGCTTCACTGAGGCCTCCACCACGCTCCAGGGGCTGCTCCTGCGCTGCCCAGTGATAAGGTCCTTCCGGAAAGGCTTCAGCCCGTCCGCCACCAGGGCGTGGAGGGCGGGGCAGAGGGTGGTCAGCACCAGGTGCCCCACGTCCGGGCTCAGCCGGCTATCCCCCAACTGGGCCTGAAGGAGGCGCAATGCGGATGGGTCCAGAGGTACCTCCAGCCATTTCCTGCCAACCGTTCCTGCGCCCCCAGGGCTACATTAATCTGTCATTCCCAACATCCTCCCCCCAGCCACCTTCACCTTCTGAACCAAGTTCCGGGCGGCCCCGAAGTGCGAGATGATTTTATCCACTGAGGAGCTGACGGCTATCAGGAGACCTGGGAGGGGTCGAAGAGGGAAGACGCGTTAAAGCAGAGACTGGCTTATGCAATTTGACCCTTAATGACTGAGAGGAGGGCCTAAGTGGGGGCAGTACATTCAGAAGCCAGGGCTCAGGAGACAGGGTGTCCTACCTTTTTTCTGCTCCTGCAGCTGGCCAGTCCCACTCTGGGCTTCTGCCATCCACAGCCGCTGGGCCCCGGGGACACCGGCGAATGACCAGGAACTACGGACTAGGGTAAGGGAAGAAGGAAGCAGTGACACTTAGCAAGAGTTACCCTGAGGACTAAGGGCTCCCGCATAGGTCATCTCCTGCGGATGTGCAGCGCCCCTGACCCTGAAGGGAGAGGGGGTGCGGGGCCGCATGAAGCATGGGGCAGCTTTACTCGGGCCCCCAAGTCAAATCCTGCACATATCCCAGTACTCGCCACCCCCACTCCCCCTTCCTCAGGGCCCACTCCCACCTCCTCGATCCCGGAAGTCCCGGAGCGGGACACCCGCGCTCACCTCCCGCCCGCCAGGCTGGAGCCTGTAGGACGGGAGCGAGTGGGAGAGGGAAGGGAGGAGCAGCCCTCCGCCCCGCCCCGGGCCCCGTCCCGCCCGCGGAGACCCGGGGAGCACGTGGGGAGCCTGGACCAATGGAAAGGCAGACAGACGGGAAAGGGAGGAGAGACGGAGAGAGGTGAGAACCAAAGAATGGGGGAGGACGGAAGGCGCCGGAAAGGAGAAACCCCGGTCCCGTGCCAGCATCTCGGCGGAGGGCGCCCCTTTCACCCCATGTCTGGGGAGACTCGTGAGGAGGGCGTGGCCAGGACCTCCTGGGCCAATGAGTTCCAGCGAGCTTCACCCTCCACCCTTCCCCAACAAGGTGGGGGTCAGACTCGAACTGCACTGGCTAAGGAATCCTCAGAGAGTGTGACTCAAGGTCCCTAACAATGAACTTGCTGGGATCCCCCCAGACTGGGTATGGAGGCCGGATAAGCCCGCGTCCACCATGACCAGCGCGGGCCTGGAGGGAGTGGGGCCGGGCCATGCAACGGGAACAGCAGCAATCTCCCTCAACTCCCTAGGACCAATGAACGGGGCTTGGAATCTGTCCATATTTAAGGAGGGGACTAAGCCCGGTAGCCCTGGAAAAAAGCTAAAGCTAAGGGCTGGGCGAGGGTGGAAGGGACCTTGGAGTAGGCGGGTCGGCCCCGTCTGAGGCGTGGCCCGTGGGGCTCGCCCGGGTCCGTCTTACGTAGCCTGGGCGGAGGCGGTGGGCTCCTGGTCCAGCGAGGGGCCTCCGGCGAACGAGGTGGCGGTGGCAGCGGGGGGGTGGGTACCTGGCGGAGTGGGGGAGCCGCGGCGGGGAAGGTGCTACTTCTGGGAAAGAGCGGGGACAGCAGCAGTGCCAGTTCGGGGCTGGCCAGGCAGGGCAGGGCCCCCCGAGTCGGAGGCGAATAGGCTCCCACCGGGGACAGGCGGGCAGGCAGCAGCTGCTCCTCTGGGGGGCTCGGCGCCCCCAGCAACCGCAGACCGGCGCCGGGCCACCCAGCCAGAGGCGCTAGGAGCAGAGACCCAGCTGCGCCCGCGCCCCCACCCTCCAACAGGGGGCGCCCGTCGGCCGAGAACCGGAAAACCAGGGGCCGAGGGAGCAAGAGGGGACCGGCTGCAGGCGGGATTGGCGGGGCCAGGCGCAGAGGGAAGGAGGGCAGCGGGACGGGCAGCCAGGCAAGGAGGGGCGGGAGAAAGAGGGAGCAAAGAGTTAGTTCCGTAACCCAACGACCCACCCAGTTTCCCTTTCCCGGAGCGCTCCCTGGTAGAAGGGGCGAGGAGGATGGGTGACACAGAATGGAGGGGAGACAGGGATCCGGGTTGGAAGCTTCAGAGGCGGAGGCATGGCCGAAACCCAGCCCTCCTCCTGCTTCCTCCGGCGGCCTCTTACCCTCTAGGCTCGCCTGCGCGCCAGGCTTCTCCGGCTCCTTAGCGGCTGGGGCTTCCTCGCCAGCCACGGGGCTGAGCGCCCTGCCCTCCTCTGGCTGCCCCTCCGCTATGGGCTGCAGCCCAGGTCGGTTCTTCTTCCTCCGGGGAGGGACAGGTGGGGGTGGGGGCCGCGGCGGGACCAAGGCCCAGCCAGCTGGGGGATCCCGAGGTGGGACGGGCGGAGGCGGGGCCCGGCTTCGGGACCGGAGTTCCTTGAAGGTGGTGACTTCCCGGGGAGGTGCGGAGGAGCCGCCCAGCGACCCGATGGGGGGCAGCTCAGTGTCGGGCGAGAAGACTATGAGCCAGTCGCTGCGATCTTTCTTGGCCTGTGGCACGAGGGGCAGCCCTGGGCCCCGCTTGCGCTTCTGGGCCAGCTCATGGAAGGACGTGATTGTCCGGTGGGGTACCGGCTCTTCGCTGACGTCATTTCTCCATCCTCCATCAGTTTTCCCTGCATCCGTTTTCGACCCAGAATCAGTTATTCCTGTGTTGGTTTTCCAACCAGAGTCGAATTTTCCAGGTTCAGTTTTCCAGCTAGAGTTTGTATTTCCGTTGATTTTCCAACCAGAGTTATTGTTCTCAGTGATTTTCCATCCAGCTTCAGTTTTCTCTGTGTCAATTTTCCAAATGGGATTAATTTTCCAACTGGGCTCTGTTTTCCCAGCGTCGATTTTCCCATCATCTGCCTCTGAAAGCTCGGAGGTAGGAAGATCTTGCTCCCCACTCTCGTCCTCTTCCTCCAGACCTAGGGAAGGGAGGCCCTGGCAGGTGGTCAGACTGTTGCAGTTCGAATCCAGGCCAGGACCCGGTGGGGAAGAAGCTCCGGAGCAAGAATCAGGAGAGCAGCAGAAGCTGTCCGGGGAGCAGGTACCAGGGCCTGCTGAAGCCATTGGGGAGCCCTGCTCCAGGGGGATAATGCTTGGCTGAGGGTGTGCATCCTCATCGCCAGGGAGGTCCCGAGAGTAGACTGAGATGGGGGAATCATCTGGGCTGAGATCTGAACAAGAGCTGAGAGAGGAGGAGCAGCCCGGGTCCGAAGGAGAGGCAGCCCCCTCTTCCTCCTGTGATGGGTCCTGCCGGTTTTCTAGGCCTGGCCCATGCTCTCGGCAGCATCGGCAGGGCACGGCTGAGCTGTTGGAATTGGCGTCCACCACAGTCCCGCTGCAAGGGCCCCTGCTGTCCTTGCCCCCAGTGTCTCCTGGAGGAGGGGGTGTGCTCAAGGGCCCCTCCCGTAGCTCGGGACGGCGGGACAAGTGCAGGCCCAGAGAGACGTGCTGGAGGTGGATGTGGTTGAGGTTGCAGAGTAAAGCCCTCTGAGGGGACAGCATGGTGCCAGCGGCGACAGGATGGCCTCCAGAGAACCAGGAGGATCGGGCCTCTCACATCCACCTACCTGGCAACCGGAGGTTCAGACCTAGAAGTCAGGGTGGTAAAACCCAGTCAGTGAGGACACTGGCCGCAGGAAGGACACCGAGGTGACCGACGGCTGAAGCAGGCCTGGGAAGGCTCCAGCTGCTTTGGGCAATATTTAAATGAGATGCAAATCGCCATCGACTGCCCATTAGTTTCTACTGCAGTGCTTGCAGGTGGGGTCGAATGTAAGCAATCCCCACATACACACCCTCCCCATCCCGGGATTGGAGCTGGGAGGGTCAGAGAATGCCGCTACATTCTGGATCTCCCTGGGGTTGCCGGGGAGGAGGGGGAGAAGAGGCTTGGAAGAGGAAGTGGGCCCTGCGTCTTTTCTGCCGCAATCTGGCCCTGCCCTCCAGCCTACCCCTCGCTCCCAGGGGAAGGGGCCAAGGGAGACCCCGCCCAGATGCTCCGAAATGGAGGGGGGTGGGCCGCAGGTTTGGCTGTTTAATGCAGGAAAGGAGCGGGGGGGGGGGGGGGGGGGGGGGGG